GATATTATCATTAAAAGTTATAAAAAATATAATTATTGATATATATTTTCAATAATCACATTGTGATTATTGATCTACGGGATTGGTCACGTGGGTACATGGCTTTAGACGACCCCCTTTTTTGTCAAAAAGATCGATTATTGTAAATTATATTTAATAACTAGCGACGATACATTTAACAATAGCAAAAAATCAAAAAGAAAAAAATTTCATTACATATTAAATAAGTATAACAAAGAAATAATAACAACGTTTAATTTCTAGTCCTAATTCTAACTTTCAATTCTTCATATAAATTAACTGTTGTAGATTTAACTTTTAATGGAGCATTCATATCAACTGACTCAATATCATACTTTCTGAAAGCAACACTAATAATGAAAGTAATTCTACTTTAGCCAACTTTTTTCTTGGACAATTACGTATTCCAGCACCAAATCCAATCCGAGAGAATTTATGCTTTTCATTAGGAGCTTTTTCATAAAATCGTTCAGGGTCGAAAATTTCAGGAGTCAGCCAATGATCTTTGCTCGAATGAATTCCATTTACATTTATATATAACACTATATTCTCGTCCCAATAGTATTCAGCTACTTCACAAGAGATTTCAACATCTCTTGAGAATTCATTTGAAATAGGTCTAATTCGACTAACTTCATTAATTACCGCATCATAATATTTTAATTTAAGAGATCGTTATATTTCATATTAAAAGAAGTATTTGGATGAAATATCAAATCGATTTCGGCGATCATTTTTTGTTTAACTTGAGGATAATGGCAGAGATAATAGGATATAAAAGTAAATGAAGTTAAAATCTATTAAACATAAAATAATTATCATTACGAAATTTATTATAGAGACTTTATTTGAGCTATTCGAAGTTAATTGGTTGGTTAACATTAAGTAAGATAATTTTAAGCGAGACATTTTATTGTGCAATGTACATGGGCCAATTCTATTGGTTGATAAAATCATGTGAATTATCCAGCATTTTGATTGGTTGCTTATTTTTTTACAAAGCGTCGCCTAGAAAAAATTGTAGCGGTATCATATTTTGGACAATATTCTAGCAATACATACGTATTTATAACTGTAGTCGATGAGCTTTCGATTATTGTAAAGTACAACTAAAATGAATTAAAGAATTATACTAATTATTATTCAGTAACGTACAGTATTTTTCACTGATTGAAGAATAATTTAGGTCAATTTTCAATGTAATTGACAAATTTTATAATTCAATTCGTTTATGCATAATAAAAATAAAGTTCGCAAAATTCTAATATCGTTTTTATATTTACAAATTAAAAAAAAAAACTTTAAAATTGCTTTAACAATACTGTATCTTTATATTGTCTTTAAGTTCGCGAAAAAAATTTCGGTAGTTTATTTGTTAAAAATTCTTTATCTGCATTGTTTAAATAACTCTTTCATTACTTATTTTTATTTCGTAAGAATATAGAACTGTCGATTCTGGAAAAAAGAAAATTCGCCTTAGAAAATTATTATGATTTAATAAGAGCTCGTAACACTTTTTTATACCAAACGACTATAAAATTTTGAGCCTGTTATAAAGATTCGTTACGCAGAGTTAACTATATACAAATAAATTTACTGAATAACTATATTGGTTGCTTTTGATAAAGCAACTTGTAAATTAATGTAAGTTATAAGTTCATTAAATAGTTTCTTAAAAAAAAATTTATTATGATAAATCAAATATATAAATCCGTTAATTCCTTTTATTCACTTTACTGTAAGTTAAAATTTTAAAATTTTTTTGTGCTGAAATAAGTTGGCGAGGGGATTTTCGATATGTTAATAGAAATTTGAAAAAAATAAAATTGTTATGACGGAAATTGTAGAGTAATAGCGGTAATTGCAATAGAACGATAACGATAATCAACGTTAATATTAACCATAGGGAGAAACTTAATGATCACTAAAAAATTCATTTAAAATAATTGGTCATAATTCAATTACATTACCGAATGTCAGTATCAAAAATCGGCAAATTTGTCCAGTTACTATTTTTTCTAGGTGACTTATGAACAAGTCATCTTTACGATTGATAAAAATTCAAATGTTTGCTATACACATATGTATTGTAACCGTTGATTGGGAGAGCTATATAAAATACTACAAATAAAGGACCAATTTAACTCCAAAGGTGTAAGAGAGATAATGAGGAACTTTGGGTAAGCGAAGGGAGTCTTTTATAACTATTGAAGGACAAAATGGATGACAATGGAAAAGCGGATGATGATCAAGTGACATCAGTGACAACTATAAGATCACGTGACGAATTAACATATTCAGTTAACGGGTCGTAATTCTCGTCCTCTCCCACAGTTTCCACAAGTCACCAAAGTAAATGGTAATATTTGATTCCATGAGTACACCATAATTCGAGCCTTAATAAGCCGAATCGAAGTTACAAGTCAATTCAGTCCGTCGAATTGAGTCTAGAAAGGGTTTAATAAAGTTACAATCGAATTCAAAAGATAATGTTTAAGGAAAATTCAGATAAGTATATGCTTTTTATTATTTACTTGTAATTGAAAGTGGACATATACTGATTTATTTGTTGATTATTTGAGGTGAACAGGTACTGTTCGTTCGTTTATTAAATTCAAAGTTCTTATATAAGTTTTAATTTTCAAGAACGCAGGCAGCGAAATTTTAACGTTTAACACAAAATCCAACGTGTAATGAAAATTTGGGTATATATGTTGTGCCGCAACTAACGCTTGTCTCAGATCATAGCTGACGTAACTCAGATGCAGATTGTTATGTGAAATGTGTAACTTATCGGTTGGTCAATAAGCACAAAAAATATATATATTTATATGTAGAAATTATTGATGATTGAACGTGACGAAGAAAAATATATGCCGCGAAATTTAGCAAAAAAAAAAAAATTCTATATTTATAGAGAATGCAAAATTACGTATTAATTTGAAATAGAATGTGCCGTGAAATTCAAAGAAAAGTACGGAGGTGCTGAAGAGAGTTAATGTAAAAGAATGCTACCGTTGGTGGTAAAATATCAAAGAGACTCAAGAATGCTATTGGAGGTAAGACGATGTCAAAGTGATTCAAAGATATAGAATACTACTGAAGTTAAAAATGATTTAAAGAATGCTACCAGTGAGAAAACGCCGAAGAGATCTAAGAGACCAAGAATAAAAAAGTCCAAGGTCTTTAATTCAATTTATGTTACTCTTATTTTCGTCAGCAGCTTAGGTGATAGATCAGTACCTGACGATCTGCATCTGAGGTGCGTCAGCTGTGATCTGAGGCAAGCGTTAGTCTGAGGCACAACATATACACCGTAAAATTAACGCATACACCGAAAAATTTTAAGGCGCAGTCTTGATGCAATAACGTATACGAGAAATTTTCAGTGTTTACGTGATTCATTTGATTTTCATGCACCTAGCCACGAAGCCAACGCCTGTAGATCTCCCATAAAGCATTAGCCAAAAATCCCCCACTATACTTCCCTTAACTTGCTTACAACACTTTCTATAGAATCATGTTGCCTCTTAACAATCAGAGTGTTGGATTCATAATCCGACAGAAATCGGATTCTGACAACATAAAGATTGTTTACACCTGATATTTCGATCTAATTGGATTAAAATCACAAGGGGGATTTTTGCGGGAGAACTACCAACTATCATGAAGCCACTTTCAACTTCCATTATAGAATAGGGAAAATATACTAGTAACTTAGTGGTGGCGAAAAAGAGCGCAACACGTGATTTTTTTTGTCCAATCACATTACAAGATCAGGTGTAACGTAAAATCAAAACAACAAAATAAGCGAAGTATCAAAATTATAAAATCTTTCTTTAGGGTATGTATTGTTTAGCACTAAGGTGCTTAAAGACCGTATTAAATGTAAAATTTTGCAAGAAAATTGTTTTATTAAGACACCAAAGACGGTTTCATAAGCAAAATATTGAGTTATTAGTGGTTTTTGGAAAAACGAACGTTTGTTTTGAATTTTCCTGATTGTGCTACGTTACACCTGATCTTGCAATATTATTGGACACATATCACGTGATTGCGCTCTTTTTCGCCACCACTAAGCTACTTAAAATATACAATTGGGGTAAAATCAACAGGGGGAAATGTACCTAAAAATAGAAACACGTTACACAATTCATTACAATCGTAATTTATACATTTTAAAGTAC